CTGAGTAACCCTAAGTCAACCAATCACAAAACTTGAGAGGAGGCAGAGGCACACAGTTTTTTATTAGCTTACATACAACCCTCTCCCCTCCCCTCACCTTCTCTCTTGGTGTGTCAATCACGAAAGGGGCTCGTTTTTGTTCCCTTAAAATGCCTCCTCTTGCGTAGTTTAGTTTATACCAGCATGAATGCCAACACAATGAGTGCGTGTGTGCGTGTGCAAATGCAGATTGATGCGTCCTCCATCACCCTACCACGTAAATGGACCACCACCAGCTGTCAGTTAGCATGGTACCACGCCATGCTGACTGATTCACCAGTTGATGGACAGGTACGCCGGACTCGCGCCAGTCCTGATGTTAATAACAAGTCGACAGATTGTGGACACGAGACGCTCGGCAGTCAAGTTGCTTTAATTCAGACTACTGGCGCGGTTGCCTCGCAGTCTGTACCCAACCAGAGAGAGACACTTTTCCAACGAAAATTCACACTCTGGTGTGACTTTCCGTGCTGTTTAGCCAGTTAAAGTCATACTGCTGCATTAATAGGTGTACACAGCCGTGTTTCATATCTAATGAAGATGATGATAATTGTCGTACTGCTTTATGACTTGAATAAAGTGAGGGAAATTGCACGATTCACCACCTATGGTAAAGGCAGATTCTAGTGCATTCTCAACTATAAACCTTCTAGCTGGAAACTGACGCAATTGATAATAGAATCAAGGGTAGCGTGTCTGTAAACACAAGAGGATGCATCGTTAGGGTCCCATTGCTGTCACTACTATGGATGGCTGCACGCAAGCCGATTGGCTGACAGCACGACCTCATTAATATGAGAAAAGGTGAGTGGGAGGACACTGCAGGTTGGCCCCCAGTTTTACACATTGTTTTCTCCCTGCTCTGGAGGTATGGCGTGTGAGAGAAAGCCCCGGGGCCTATTGTGTGTTGGCCACGGAAGTGACGCGTCAGTTTGAGAGAAGAGGAAGCAAATCCCATATTCGTGCTGAGGGGGCGGGAGTGTGACAAGTGAAAAGTCGCCTTTCCAGCTCCTCATTTTGGTCTGGGAGAAATCCATCGCTTGTGAGTTTCCCACGAGCATCGATGATGCAGGATGATGAGGAAATTATGCAATTACCTGAGGCTTGGCGATAATTGATGGTCAAACCAGTGGGTTTACGGGAAAAAAACGATGATTCACAAACAACCCATTTTCGGACAGGCAGATAACGTGTGGGCTGGCGAAGGCACAAGCACCAAATGACTTCCAATTGCCTCGACACCAACGACGTGGTGAGAATGTTTCCACGATGGTGCGTTTCTGGCGGTTGCATGACCCGATAAACGATCGCTGCACACCACACCTGATGGACGGCGACTGTCAGTCATCAGGAAGGCGTTGGTGATGGAAGTCACTCGTGGTGTTTTTCCAAGCAGTCTTCACTAGCTGTGGGCATGTTTTCAGCGCCAAAGCGAAATGTTTATGGGTGTACATGGTTCAGTTTGATTGACACACACACCAACACACCTGTAGGCTAGTCGCCAAGGCTGCTACAACGCGTCAGTGTGGTCTACTGGCGAGGTTTCTGCGGCCCACACCACACAAATTCAACTAGAAGAGAATTAAATTTGTCAACGTGAGTTGGTACAGCCACGCCACACAACCTCTCACCACGTTTTGCTGAATGAATCTGGAATAAGCCCACTTAAAATGTGTGGACAATTGACTATTAACACACCTCTAAACGAAACCACCACTATCTGGGCGAGTGGGACTAAATACTGTCGATGATGACGACGGCGACTAGCCAATCAGGACGCAGTGGTGTCATGCCCACCAAGTCGAAGTGGCGGGAGGAGTGATTTACGCACTCGCAATCTCGTGAGAAGAAAGAAGGGGAGGAGGATGAGGAGCGGGAAGAAAAAAAAGTTAGTGCACTCAGCCCAGACGTCACACGTCTTTTTCGCCAATACAGTGAGAAAAAAACTTGCCTTCCTGCTCTCTCTCTCTCTCGCTCTCACTCACCACGAGGTCTGTTAGGGTGTTTCAAAAGCAAAATTTTCTCTGTGACGCGACAGCACTGGGCTGTGTAATTTCAACACAAAATTCAAACAATGGGGTTATTTGTCGTCCCCGCCACTTCCGTTTTAAGTAGTCTCATTATTGACAGTTTAGAAACCTCACGCGTCCAGGTGGTTGTGGAGAGCACAAACTTGTCTTTCCACCTAATTAGCGAACCCTGTTGCCACGGGTTTGTCCACAATCGAGGTTTCGTTTATGTCATTCATATCAGCGTCGAAATTGTGGCCCATTTGCACGTTTCAGCCTGTACCAACGCAGTCCGCATTGACGGAGCTTGTGAATTATGCTGGCTGTCGTTCACGCATTGCATTCGGGTGGTAAGTGGAGTCAGAGGGTATAGGGGGGTGGGGGTGGGTAGAACTTTGTACATCGATCAGCTGATCACTCAAAGCCCCAAGGCGTGGCCACGTCTGTCCACTTGGTTGAATTGATGTGGCATCCACTGACACACACTCAACCAGGCCAGAGCAATTATCCCGCACACCGACCCATCAACTGGAATCGGGAGAGGGACAGTATGGAGCCAAGGCAGGGAGAGGCAACTGAGACAGGAACGAGGGAGCTGGGTGGGAGGACGACTTGACAGCGGAGGTTGGGAGGGGCGTGTGCATGCAACGCCGGTGCAAGGAAACAACTACACGAGGTAGCCGGTGCTGTCAAAATTAGTTAGGATGCACGGTAGGAAATGCCTGCTTCCACCCTCACACACACACACCCAGATAGTGTCTGACACCGAAATATCTGTGTTGTAATTCCGGTTGAGGAAGTCATAACTCAACTACAACTTGGCACTAATTCACCATAAAAATATAGTTCAGGGTTTAAATGGATTTTGGGCGATGGAGGAGGCAGGAAGCCGGATTCGACCCACGAACAACTCGACTAATTGTCAGATGTCAGCCTCCCTGTGTCTAGGGGGCACTGAGAGAGCGTGTTTGTGGAGAGGGAAGGAGGGAGGGAAGCAGTAAAGGTTGCCTTCGTGATCTGCCCCAAAACTGACAGCTTGACAGGCTCGGGAGCTACTTCTAGCCCGACCCCCCCCCACACACCTCACCCCCTCTACGGCCTTTCGTGGCAAAAGTCAACTACCGCCTCTGACAGGTATGATGGTTGAGGCGGACTTGCTTAAATCTGGCTGTTTTTTCCTCTAAAGAAGAAAGTCGCAAGCATCTTCGGTACTTTGCCCAAAACGCCGTCTTTGTTGCAGTGGTTGAACAAGTGAACTTGGCGTCCCACGAATGCCACAACACGGCGTATTCTTCACCGACGCCAAGTACGCAGTCTGTCAGGCTGGGGACAGGACATATCACTAGAAACACAACCTGTATCACCACAGATCCTTTCTACACGTCATCACCAGTTTTTCTAATTGGGTAATGGGGCAAGTCAACTCAATTTGCAGCTAAGACCGTTTCATTAGAGATACAAACAGACAATGCGACTGCTTTCCCATTCAATGCTTGTTGATGCTTCGAAAACCGATGAAAATGTACGAGATAGTGGCATATTTTGTGAGTATAGGCGCGGACATCAATTCAGCACCCACTAACACGACAAATTTCGTTCAAACTGAGATTAAATGCACTTTGCTCTCCGTATTTCAAGGAGAGAATCGTTTGCTTGTTTCAAGATTTCACAAACAAGCGTTAACAGCGATGCGGCAGACTTCGAAGCTGGGTGTTTGACAGCCGAGTGGCACAGTTAACTAACAGAGCATTCACACCTGGATCGAACCATTCTGAATCAACTTCAATCGATGGAAGTTAGTTCAAGAACTCGGTAGTCGCGTTCCACGGTCTTTGAGCGGAGACCACAGACTACACGCAGCTGGTGAAAGAGCGTGGATGTGGCGTTCACTTTAACAGAAATGGCGTTTTATGTAGTTGAGAACGCGCTTTTGAACTTGGTATGGACTCACTAAATGCGACCGTATGCGGAGTAAGCCTAGCAGCTGTCGACAGTGCTTCAGAACTGGCAAATTGATGAGGTCGGGAAAAACCAGCGTGTCAAATTCGAGGTGCGAGCACATCTTAACGACAAATTAAGACGAGGTATTGACAAATATCAACAGACACTTTCCGCAGAAATGGAATTCGAACCCTCGATAAAGCATTCAAATAGACAACACATTTTGAGGGGGCATCAAGCACATCCAAAATCGACATTCGCACACTTACCCGCTACAAAAGTGAGCACGACTGCAGCGAAGACGACCAGTTGAATGGTTGATAAGTGATCCAGCTGTCGAGTTGATCCACCGGTGATGGCTCGGATCGCCGCGGTCATCCTGGCGCCAAGAAATATACGAAAAACAAGCGAAATTTTATCGACGCTCATGTGCGTGTGTGTGTGCGAGTTTATCGCCCCGTGCATAAGTAATCCGAAAAGGAAGGCGTATGCAAATTACTTCGTTAGAGGACGGGGCTATTCACTTCTCGTGACTATGGCCAAATAACCAGTTAATTTCTGTGTGACCGTCTCATTGCGCCGACGTAGGTTCCACGTTGAATTATGCATCCAGGGGTGAAGGTCGGCGTCAGCAGATGAGTCATGTCGAGAACTTCCCAAACCAGGCAATATTAATACTTTATCAACCAAGTGTGTGAAAAAAGAGAGAGAGAGAGAGACGAGAATGTCTTGTGTTTGAGTGCATTATTGTCCCCGCATGTCAGCCCACGTAGCGTTTAATTAACAGCGACAGATGGTATGGAAGAGGCAAGCCGTGATTTGAGCATCAACCGGAATCGCTGCGCCGTGCTGTCTGAGTCCACTACTTCCGGAGAGTGGGGACTGCTCAAAAGCCCGGGGTAGGTGACGAATCCACTCACCTGTAGGATGTTTTTATGACTCACGCAACCCCGGCAGTGTGTGGCCGAGAAAGAAATGGGCACGCACGCACGCACGCACACACACATGCTCCGCATTCCACGATGTGATCGCAGACGTCAGGCGCTTTTTTGTTCAAACTTTTCGCAGAACAGTGAAGCTGGACCCTTATTCACACACAAAAACGCGCCTCACCATCCACCGTATTTGCTGCTCTGTGGTGCGCGTGGCGCAATAACCTTCCACCACCACCACCCACAGTAGATTTCATTGTTTTTATTTGCTTCCTTCTTCTTCTTCTTCTTCTTCTTCTTCACCATGGTAACTCCTCGGTTGGGCAACAAGAACACGTTTGTTCGCTCGTACAGACACTGTCATGCTTGTATGTGTGTGTGTGTGCGCGTGTGTTTCGTTCACACTGTCTATCGGTTCACCTTTTTCCAACTCCTCCCTACGTAACAGTTAGCGGTGGCGGTGGTGGCGATGGAAGATGCACACACACACACACACACACACGCACAAACCGGCTGATAATATGGAAAAAGTGAAAAGCTAGCATCGTGAATAAGGGGTGTTGGCAGAAATACGAGGAGGAAGCAGTCATACCCTTCATATCCCTCCCTCCACCCCTCACTCGTTTTTTTTCAAACTATCACCCTCGATAAACGCTGTTCTGGCATTTAAGCAACACACGGACTGACGGGGAGGCGCTATTAAGGCCCAACAACCCACGGAAGTGGCAGTTATACGATGCGGTTCCGTTCCCAGCCTCATTGTGTGTGTGCGTGGGTTTCTTGTGCGTGCTCCGGTTAACCAGACGCCGTAAGAAGCCGTCGGACGTGAATACAGGTGGCGGAACCGTGTCTCCTTGTGCAGCCGTCAGTCAAAGCTGCGTGGAGAGGCCAAGGCAGCCACAGTCAAGCGTGAAGCCGACGAACGATACTTGTCCGCCCAACGGATGATTGCGCTTGTTTAAAACAGAGCCCCCATCATGGACCCTCCTGTTTGGCTTGCTTCATTTCAGGCTGTTGGCATGAGGTGCGCGTGGGTTTGCTCTGGGGCTATAATTAACGCCCACCAGAGTGAGTAATCACTCAATCCCATTCAATCACACCACTAGTAAGGCGTGGGAAGGAATCTGGTCGGAGTAAATTGTCTAAACCAGCGTTTCGTCAGCTTGAATCGGAGAATAAATTAACACACACACACACACATGCACACGTCTGGTGATGAATGAGGTAGTTTTGCTTGTCACAACAAGGACTACGTGGCAAGCGCCTAAACTGTGCCTGATCATTCATTTTGGAATCTGCGCGAGCGCTTTTAACTCAGGCTCGAGTCTTTCTGAATTCCTATTGTACGCACATTTCCCTACGTACGAAGGGACACCCAATGACTGGGTTTCCGGTTTCGAGATTGTTGTTTAGGAATGAAGTCACCAGTTGTTGCTGTTGCTTCTTTTGCTGCCTCGACCCCCCTCACAAAGCTTGCATTCACGTCACTTCGGAAGTCCACCTTACCAAGGAGTTTAGTCATTTATCGTGACTCAGACGAAAATACTGCCAGCAGCAGAGAGAACCTCGACCTGCGACAGTGGTTGCCTTCAATATCAGACGCAGTCGACGCTGTGCCAGACGTGTTTTGGTTCCCATAGCACCGTGGATAACACGGCCTGCGTGCGAACACAGATGATGGGCGAATCAAATTGGCCAAACGAGCAGATGTGTGTACACGTGCAGTGGTGGAGGAGAAGGAGGAGGAAGGGATGAGGAAACGAAGGTTTGAAAAAGTGACAGGACGCGTTAATAGAACGCGTTGCAGCAGCAGCAACAACAACAAATGCAGCAAGCCAGGCTGTGGCGCGACTTGTACTGCAGCAGTGCGCGTTAACTGGCGATAATTCAAAATTATCATCTTCTTTTATCGTCGCTGCACTGTTCTCCCTCGATCTCCGATTATCGGAGAAAAATCGATGATTGGCCAAACCAGACGTGGAGGAAACGTATCTACAAGTTTGGGTGGATGGGGTTCTCCATATTTCACCCATTCTGATTGCGTGTTGAAGTATGGATGTGTGTCGTCTAAGGGATAACAACTGTGGCACTCTACTTATTTCTGACCGCAAACTACGAAGCGACCACCTGATTGGTTGGCCGATTGATTTTCCACCGAAGGATCCGAGTTCGAGCCCTACCATGACTTGGAGCTGGTGTTTTAGAGCACAGCGAAACAAATTTCATGGATTATACACTAAGTGTGGCGTATTTATGCCTACAAAAAGCTTGATTTCAAACACACGAACCACAAGCTAATCTATTCATGCATAATTTACAGTTTTGCATTAAATAGATGACTCTTGACTTACTGTTAAAGAGCAGTGGTTTGTAGTCGTTGGTAGTGCCAGGTAGACGTCGGTGTTAATAGCGAGACAAGTTCACTTGCATGCTGCTGAGATAATTACTCCCTCAGGCCTTGGTGCCAAGACGAAGGAGAAGAGGATGATGATGATGGAATGCTTTTTTCCTCCCTATCTGACTTTCTGTTGCAACGCACACAATGGACGTTTTTATCGCTCTTTAAGAGAGTACGTCTGCAAGGAGGTGATTTTATATACGCTGAGTGGCTGGGCGCATGCCCACTGACAACCAATCAGCGAGCAGGCCGAGCAGTGTGTGTGTGTTTGTGACAGCTGAGATGTGCGCACTGCACGCATACGTACGCACGCATGCACGCACGCACGCACGCATGCGAGAAAGTGAAATCGCGAGAAAAGAACGCAAGCACGAGCGTAAACACAACGCACACGGATGCACGTGCATGATGGTGATAACGAGGCGGATTGAGTGTCAATCATGGCGTCTCGCACGTTACTCCTTCCAGCGCCTGTACCCCACCAATGCACGCGTGCGTGGGTGAGTGCGCACGTGTGCGTGTGTTTGTCCACTCGCAACGTCGGCGGCGGGCAAGCAGAATGCAGCCTTGCTTCGCCTGTCAGCCGGCTACGTTTTGACAGGAGAGAAATCTATGCGAAAAAAAGTAGAGAGGGTGGAAGAGGAGGAGGAGGAGGGGATAGTGGGGAGAGGGAACATACCTTGCACGCCCACCCCCACCCCCCCCCCAAGACTCGATTAAGTCAAACGACTGATGCTGTCAGGGCTGGTATCTGACCTAATTCTTTCCAGAAATTCTCCTGAGGAATAAGGTTAAGGGTACCAGGGTTAGAGTCTCCAAAGACGGTAACATGCCGATGTCTTCTTCGACACATCGCCCCACATAAAACATACTTCAGCTTCTGCGTACATCGTCTTGCGTTGACTCCAAACAACTTACGAAGGTTCACCAGCATCTGGCTTCTTTCACCCAGTCTAGAAGCTGACAGTCTGATTCCCTGAAAACCAGGCGTTGTGGACTTCCACGAAGTCGAACTAATCAGGCTAGTTCAGGGAGGCTAGCTCGAGGTTTGCCCACTCAATGCAATGATGCGTGATTAATTAAGCAACCAATCAATTAGTTGATTGGTTTATGCAAATTAAAGTTCATCAACTAACTGAGTCATCGTCAAGCAGAACTATTCGACACGAAGAAGGCTTCTATAGTCGAGATTTCATCCAAACTGACTGTCAAATTTGCTATATCATTTCACGCAACTCCTTGTTTTACCAAACTGACTTCCGTTAGAACGCTGCCTAGTTTGACCCTCACCGGTAGGGATCTAGAATATTGTACACACTGTTTGCGCTGTTTACTGTCGCAATATTTCTAGTTTAGGATAGCGCATGAACTTCTTCACGTCCCGGATCTTCTTTGTTGTTCTTCTTCTTTTCCAGCCTGTCTGTCTGCTCGGGTCTAAGCCGCTGGTGTTATTTACAGGCTTCATGCGAGGCTCACACACTTCATCATTGCTGGCACGTTGTTTGGCGGTGGTTTGGTTTCAAGTTAGAAAACATGCATTCTAGTGTTGCAATTGGTGTAAATCCACGACGATAAACCCTGTGTACGCATGTCGAGGCGTCGAGTTGAGAAATTTATCCATTTCCAGTCATTCGTGTATCTGTTATGCCCCTAGTGCCTTTCCGCGCGTATCCCGTGGTTGTGTGGATCCGTTAGAGCATTCACTCTTTTGAACAGGCGAGAATTTCATCGTCCTGGATGCTCGACGACAAACTAGCGAGTGGGGACCCATTGATCCCAGTGGGAAGCGGTTCGAATCCAAAAGTGGGATCTTCTGCAACTGGCGAATCGCCTTTGAATTAGTTTGACGCACTGCGACAAGATTTTCTAGTACAAGAAATAGTTCCATTTTCGCAAGCTGAAATTAACATGTGTCAGTCAAACGAGGGTGATTGCATGCGTCCTTGATCCATTCCCATAGGTGACACGAGTCTGCACTTTTGAATGTGCTCAAGTGCGTCGCGAGTCATCGCATTTGCAAGGAAAAAACTTGTTTAAATTAACCTCTGTGCAGATGAAACCCTGCATTTCCGCCATATTAAAATGTCATTGGGAGCAGGTGTTCGTGGTGATGATTAATCAAAATGCTGTGGTTCCGAAAATGTCCTATGAAAGCCACGTTACTGGAGAACTTAGTTTTGTGTGACAATACAGACACACACTAAAAATTGTCAATAACATGTTACAAACCCAAATGGACAGCGAATTGTAGGCAGAGATGTGTGTTGTGTAAGGGAGTGAGAATTAGACCATGTAAAATGGATTTGTTTAAAGTCATCGTTCGGTGTCTAGTTCACCCCTCAACGGACAACACATGAACTTCTTTACTTTCCGCATCTTGAAGTTCTTCCATCCGGCTTAAGCCGCAAAAGTGATTTACAAAGTTATCTGCAATGGGCAAAATTAATTATGAATATGATCCATCTGTCTTTTCGGTTAATTCGCCGACGGAAGATAACCGTTTGCAGAGATAACTCGTCAAGGTGCCTGCAAGAAGTTGAGAAAAGGTTAGAACTTAAAAAATCACCCATTTTTATCCGATTTATTTCTATTTGAGTGGGAATTTCGCATTCACGGTCGAGCTTCTTCCGGGTTTTTCTGATCGCGACTGGCGCGAAACTCGTGTCGGTCGTTGTTTTAAACCAACAACAGCGATCCCCGCCTAGCACAGCTCAACTGAATTGTGAATTTCAGACCGTGTTTGTTTCTCCTGGGTGTGTGTGTGTTGTTTCGACGACCTGATTAATTTACACCCGACGGGGTAGATGAGCGTGTGAGAGTGTGTGTGTGTGCGAGGGTATTGTCAATGGAGATTAATTGCTCGCCAAACAGGCCGAGTGAAGTGAGTGGACTGGAATGCGACGAGATGAGGAAGGCGGATAAGCATTCGCCGACGAAACACTCACACACACACGCACACGCACACCAACAGTAAATAACACCGGTAATTGAGAACAACGACGATGCAAAACAGCGATAATGGCGTTTTTCCATGCATTTCTGCAGGCGTGTTTAAGTGAACAGCGACATGGCGTGTTTGGGGAGTATGACTGACGGCCATCGGGACTTCATAATGCATCCCGAAACGGTCGCAACTCCACAGTGGTGATTGCTGCATTAAATTATCTTCCTGCACAACGCGAGTGATGGCTGCATGTTGATGCAAGTTCTTAGACTCCAGATCCCGACGTCTGATCTGGGTGGTGCTGCCTGATTGTTTTCAGATCTTCCCACGAACCTGTTGATTCGGAGGGGTTCACGAGACAGGCCATCGTGTCGCCAATCAATGCTGTCTGTTTGGCCAAAAAAACGACTACTCCATGAGTGCTCGATTTTCTACACCCAACAGTAACGCACAACTGCAATCGTCCAACGAGCCAGTCCATCGAGTTGACACGAGCAAAATGCGTCCACATTAAGCACTTCAGCTAACACAATAGTGCCTTATCTGGAAGTCGATCAGTTGATCGTCAAGATTGCAGTTCAGTTACTTACACGCAAGTCTCAGTGTGTGTAATTACCTCCAAATTTCGGCCACCAATATTTCTGGCAAGATCAAATTTTCGAAATCGACAGTTCACATACTTTGCAACTTGTGAGTCTGCCATGCACACTTTGTCGTATCGACCGCGCACCCACCCTATTGGCTCACATGTCCGCCAATTTCCTTGAAGAATTGATGGCGATATTTGCAGGGGAATCGTCTTGTGCATTTTGACCATGAGGTTGCTCTACAAATTTCGGGAATTCGTAGCATTCTTGAGTTTGTGTAGCCTATCTTGAAGATATCGGCAATTTGACCATAAAATGAACTGTTTTCCGAATTAGGACAATGGAACGTGGGTACAGAGCCTACCTACGTTCGCATTTGCTAAGTTGGTTGTAGCACTGGTGTTTTTGTCTTCGGCGATAATTTTTACGTTAAAGACAGAACCTTCTTAGCTGCCAAAGTCACTGTCACGTCCATTCAGTTCAACAAGACTGCGGCTGCCAGCCAACACAAATACAAACATTGGTTTGCATCTACTTAGAATGTGTTCTACACCTTTTTGGTTGGTACTGACACGATAAGCCTCCAGTGTCACCTTCGTGCGTATATTCACTTAACTTCCATAAATCGTGGCGTTCTCTCTTGAACGGTTCTGCGGCGACTTTTCGAAGAAACGGACGCCTACCGAAATCACTACACCCAGATTGTTACACGTCGGAGGGCTTTCTCAACTAGAAGTTGCTATAGAACCAACATTCCTCTCCTAATTCTTCGAAATGCTAAAATCAATAATTACAAGTCAAACTAACCCTCGCTGTCAGAACTTTCAGAGCCCCTAAAGCCGTTGACAGCAAATCGTTGAATGTGGTGTTTGTAATACCTAGGATGCCCTCTACACGTCATCAGTTGCCTTTCGATAGTCGGCCGATAGCGGATCTCGTTGAGAGCAAAAAAATTGCAGTATAGATTTGGTGCCACGTCGTACAAACGGACGCAGCGAGCGCTACGTGGCACCGCAAAATTTCCCAACACACGTGCGCACCGGTTTCCAAACGCGAGGAAGCCAATTAAGTGGCGCTATTTCAAGCGCGAAGTTAAACTTGTGTGTGTGTATTAGTGTACTTCTTGCATCAAACTTTAAGAAAAATGCGACATTAGTCGAGTAAAATTGCATAAATAGACCTCCAAAGGGTGTTTCAAGCGACTACCGGGCGAACAGACGATCCAGTTTGATCTCGTTCGCTGAAGGACGTTCACAAGGCGACCGCGCGAGCATTCGACGACAGAGGGCCGCCTAAAATTCCACGCAACAGAGAACTTGAGTCCGCAAATAGCATCAGTTGTTCCAAATCAATACAACTTACTTCGTTACTTGCAAGCTGCGTTAAGAAATCGAACGCGCATTTAGCCCGCACTGTTATAGTTTGAATTTCTGAAGGTCACGGTGATTGGCAATGTGACGAGAAGAATCTGGATTGGCTGATTGCTTAGCTCAAATTTTGATTGGTCAATAAGCGTTAAAGTACGAAATTCTTATACTGCGCCCAATTTAAAGCCTTGCATTTCTCACCAAATTGTCTTAATTTGTTAAAGTCGATACAAAAAAATCTGCCCTTAGCAACCATTGCAAAGTCGACGAGTAATCATAGTGTCTACTAATTATGCCTGAAGTGACCAATCAAATGTGATTTCTTTGCACAAATGACAACTACCATTATCACGTAGCATTAATCGAGTAGGCTTGAGTGCTCCAGTTCAAGGCAAATTGGTTTTTTCCAACGAACTCAAGGAACCCCTTCCATCGAACGTCAACGCACTTTCAAGGACTACTAAGGGTGGCATTGAATGATTTCGTTCTATTTGCGAACTTACGAAATCCGGTCCACATTGACTTATTTCCAGGTCTGGTCAACTCACTAGAAAATCCGTTCTGTTAGAAACGACGGTTTTCCCAGCAGGGAAGAAATAAACACATCCACATCGGACAACACACGTCCCAGTCAAGTCTGTGTGTGCGCGTGTGTTCTATGGGCATCCGTCGATAAGTAGCACGCAGGGCTGGCATGCAGTTGCATCTGACAGTATTTAGTTCTGTTAAAATTGTTAAATTATGCCAAAAAATAGATTTATAGTAACAATGCCAGTACCACTGATCCTATTTGAACCAGTTCATGTGCGCTTTGCATAATTCAATCGCCTTAAAGAACCAGGGGTGGCATTTTAAATGCGATTTGAAAGGTAACGATCAGAACTGTGCATCTTCGCCAGTCAAAAAGAACTCACCTCGGCAGGGAACGCCATCGTGTAGGCGGTTGGAAGGTTCTGCGATCGGGCGGCAGTCAGGGCCTCAATCCGCTCCATTTCCGTCGAAAACGGCAACGTCAACTCGAAGAAGATGAGACCGAGTGAGAAGATGTCGACTTTTTCGTCGTACGTCCGACTGGACGCCTGTTAGAACAAAAATGTGCTGAGGAAAATGCGGTTATCAAACTCCACAAAGTAAACAACCTCAGGTAATCCGCTCAGAGAATTGAAATTTCCACAATCATGCAAAAGAGGGTTCGAAACTACCAATTCGAACAGAATCTGCACTTCTCAATACACGGCCACAGTTGCGCGCGTTTGCAAATCGGAAAATAAAATCGCAGAAGCGTTTGTCGTGATACCAGATTATTACGTTGGTGATTGGCTTGTACGGTTCCAGCACCAGAATGGCCCGCGATTCATCTATCAATTTTGCTGATGCCTCGAAGCCCAATTGACCAATGAAAATGCCGCGCTGACGTCGTCACGTGGAAAAGGCGCTTTATCTCATGTAGAATACCCGAGCCCTTGTGTGGAGAAGACTGGTACAACAGAACAGGCTTTATTGACCAAGCATAAGCCAGAGCAACAGGTCAGGCGCCTTCCATCCGAGTCCACCATGCTGGTCACGCCGCTCAATATATACTGCTCCTCATTCGCGTCTTTCTTTGGTTGGCTGCCCATCTTCCTCGCATGCCACTGGAACACAGAGAGACTGAGGATTGGCTGAGGCCAGTGTGGTCCAATATGTCTGCGCCCTCAGACGTCGCCACGCTGAATAAGGTTTATTTGAAATTGTCACAAATAAATGTGACTATTTTGCACTGTTTTAGCACCCGCATGTGTTGTAATTCATTCGGCAATTTATCGTCACCTTGGAGCGAAATTGACCAACGTGATGCGGCGCAGACAGCGTCACACCGTCACGTGCTTAGTTGGCTCCTGCGCCAACTAACCACAACTACAAACACAGAAACACACACACA